TTTTCTGTATTTATTTTATTTTCCTTTTATAATCATTGATAAATGTTATGGTCTGAAGCATTAGATTGAATTTTTTGTATTTTCAGGTGATAGCAGCTACCAACCGAGCAGACATCTTGGACCCTGCTCTGATGCGTTCTGGTCGGTTGGATCGAAAGATTGAATTTCCCCATCCCACTGAGGAAGCCAGGGCCCGCATTTTGCAGGTATTCCTCTTATTGATAATTCATTCTCACATGTTTTTTTTCGGGATACCTTATGTGACAGTGCTCTGTCTTTATACTTCTGCTTCTGATAAATTGATTTCTCTTATGGCAGATCCACTCAAGGAAGATGAACGTTCATCCGGATGTCAACTTTGAGGAGCTTGCTCGCTCGACTGACGACTTCAATGGTGCCCAACTGAAAGCTGTTTGTGTGGAGGCTGGCATGCTTGCACTTAGGCGTGATGCCACTGAGGTCAGGCTCTACTTGCGCTTTCTACTTCTCTGACTGCAGTGTCTTTAATTTTGAATGGAGCATAATTTGAGACATCGTCCTTTTGTTTTGTAGGTGAACCATGAGGATTTTAATGAAGGTATCATCCAGGTTCAAGCGAAAAAGAAAGCCAGCCTGAACTACTATGCATAGGCATGGAAGCAGTTTCTCTCCTTGAAGCACTGCATGTGAAAATCTGAAGAGAAGATAGTTAGCTCGGTTTGCTATAACTGGTTAATCTTTTTTGTTGTTTTTATGGGAATTTTTTGTTAGGTTGGGACGTCGTTTCATGATGTGCTGTGCAAGCATCCAATTTAGTCAACCGTGCCTTTGTCGAAAATGAATGTTGCAATCATACTTTGTTTCATGATTTGGTGTATTCATGTGCTGTTGCCCATTGGTGATCGGGTATTTAAAATTTGGAGGTTTGAATGAAAATCCCATTCTGCGTAAATTTTATTGCAGGTAAAGACTGTTTACCTTTAAGGGAGCTAGTGAAGGAAAACATACCAGAAAATTGTGGACAGAAATATGAATGCATTTGTTAGCAGCTGAAATTTCGGATGTGGCAAAATTCAATTGTAACTTTGGGGAATTTTGACATTTTACCACCCAAATTGAGCTTGATAATCAAATTTCTTCGGCTACTCGAGTTGTGATAATGCTTGAACTTATTGTGCTAGTACATGCTGTTTTGCCGCCTCTGAAATCAGTGGAATGTGAAATTTTGGTGGCCGTGTTTCGGTTTATAGTTGGATGGTTATCTTCCTGAATTTTTAATATTTGGAGTCGAACATATATTCGGTGATACGTTATTGTGTTTCTGTTATTTTGTAAAGTGTTATAAAATGCGAGGAATATAAAGAACACAATGTAAAAACCGGAACAAATTATACTTTGCTTTCTTTCTTCACTTTTTCGTCCGTTTTTCAGTACAAATTTTACAAAGTGTGTGGCCTCTTTTATAGGCACATTGGCACATGTTGACGAGCGTTTTCGGTCAACGGTTAAAAATAAAAGATATAGAAAGCAAGACTGAAAAAGGGGAGAATAATCCGGTTTGATTACGATCTTATTAGACGATCACGAGGTCGGCCTCTCGTACGAGGTCGGCACTTGCGATATACTTACAATTCCTACAGCGAGTTTCTTACAACTTTTAGAGAGAGGAAGTAGAGAGAAGGTAAAGTTAATTCAACTTCAACAACCTAAAATAAATGAGGTGAGCTGCTATTTATAGTGGTCTTTAATGTGGCACTATTCAGCTACTGTTCACTGGTCTTGTCGCACAGTAATTCGGCAGGGCAGTTCGGCGTCCGTCTGACGGCTATTTAATGCGATTTGAGGTTTCCCCAATCATTGCCTGACGGGCATTAAATGCCAGCATGGGGGGCATTTAATGCTGGATGGCTTTGCTGACTTAGGCTGGCTGGTAGGGGGCTAGGCCATGATTACCTGTCCCATCGTCCAATGATGACCTCCCAAGTGGGAATATTTTAATGCTCATTGAAACCCATGCGTCGTCCCTGATCGGCCTCCTCGTACTTTCAGGTCGGCACTTCGTTCATAGATGCTCTTTAGACTACGAATAGTCTTCTTCATGTTCGGCACCCATTCAGGTCGGCAGTTCCCCGGTCTGAGACGGGAGCCGGGCTGAGAATCTGTTCCCAGGACGGTTTCCCGCCCCTCTAATCCATGATCCAGCTCGGCACTTTCTCATCAGACCGGGCTTTTGGCTCGAGTCGGTTGGCAACGTCTCCCCGGCTCATTCCTGGCTAACTCGGATATCAACAGCACACACTTCTACAGAAATTCTATGGTGCCACATGTGCCTCCATATTATGGTGCCACAAAATGATGTGACACATTATGATTGGTGCCACAACTATCACACATCATGGTGTGACACCAATCATAATATGCCACATCATGTTGTGGCACCATAACACGTGCCACATGTGGCACCATAGAATTTCTGCACACTTCTATGCACACTTTAAATAAATTAATGTAATGATAAGATTAGTGGTAAATTCCACCACATATACAACACTCCCCCTTGGAATTACCACTATTAAATGTGCGTTTATGCTGTCTCGTTAAAAACCTTATCTGGAAAAACCCTGTGGGAAAAAATCGAGATAAGGGAAAAAGAGTACAGCCGCACATACTCCCCCTCGAGTTATCATCCTTGCAAATCCCGAAGATGTCTCATTCCAATATTGTGTATGTGCTTTTGAAACATTGTCGTCGGAAGCGCCTTCGTAAATAAATCAGCTGCATTATCGCTTGATCGAATGTATTGAACTTTGATTTGTTTGTTTCTTTCAAGCTCTTGCGCATATGAGAAGAATTTTGGAGGGATATGTTTAGTTCTGTCACTCTTGATGTATCCTTCTTTGGTTTGAGCGACACATGATGCATTGTCTTCGAATATCACCGTCGGGTCATTATTGTCCGATAGTCCACTGGCTTGTTGAATATGTTGAGTCATGTTTCTGAGCCAGATACTTTCCCTAGTTGCTTCATGAAGTGCAATGATCTCAGCATGGTTTGAAGACGTCGCAACTAATGTTTGTTTCTGGGAGCGCCAAGAAAATGCAGTTCCACCAACCGTAAAAACGTATCCAGTTTGAGATCTTGCTTTATGGGGATCTGAGAGATATCCTGCATCTGCAAAACCGATTATTTCATGTTTTTTATCATTAGAGTAAAATAGTCCCAAATCGATTGTCCCTTGGAGATAACGGAATATATGCTTGATTCCACTCCAATGTCTCCTCGTAGGTGCCGAGTTATATCTTGCTAATAAATTGGTAGCGAAAGATATATCTGGTCTGGTACAATTAGCAAGATACATAAGAGCTCCTATGGCACTCATATATGGTATTTCAGGATCAAGTATTTCTTCATCTTCATCACAAGGTCGAAATGGATCCTTTTCAATATCTAATGTTCGATTGACCATTGGGGTACTAAGTGGATTCGCCTTGTCCATATTGAATCGTTTCTGTATTCTTTTAGTGTAATTAGATTGATGGACAAATATCCCATTTTGGACTCGTTCTATTTGCAAGCCGAGACAATATTTGGTCTGTCCGAGATCTTTCATTTCAAACTCGCCTTTTAGTAAAGTGACTGCTTCTTAAATTGCATTTGTAGTCCCAATAATATTAAGATCATCGACATAGACAGCAATTATGACAACTCCATCTTGTGATCTTTTTATAAAGACACACGGGCATATTTGATTATTTATGTATCCCCGTTTTAGTAATTGTTCACTCAAACAATTATACCACATACGCTCGGATTGTTTCAAGCCATACAATGATCTTTGCAGTTTTATCGCACATAACTCTTTAGGTTTGGACTTTAGCGCCTCGGGTATTTTAATTCCTTTTGGAATTTTTATATAAATATCAGCGTCTAGCGATCCATATAATTAAGCAGTCACAACATCCATGAGACGCATCTCAAGATTTTCATGGATGGCCAAACTAATCAAGTATCTGAAAGTAATTGCATCCATAACAGGGGAATATGTTTCATCATAATCGATCCCAGGCCTCTGGGAGAATCCCTGTGCTACAAGGCGAGCTTTATATCTTGTGATCTCATTTTTCTCATTTCTTTTTCTGACAAAAACCCATCTGTACCCAATAGGTTTTATGTCTTTAGGTATAATGGTAATAGGTCCAAACACCTTTCGTTTATTAAGTGAATTTAATTCGGCTTGAATAGCACCTTTCCACTTGTCCCAATCATGTCTTTTCTGACATTCAATCATATATTTTGGTTCAGGATCCTCAACTTCTTTGTCAATTTCTTGTGATACCATATACGCGAACGCATCATCAATGATCCCATCACGCTTCCAAAGTTTCCCATTATTTACATAATTGATGGAGATTTCAATATTTTCATTTCGTTCCGAAATTTTTCCATCATCTTGATTCTTTTTCAAATTCGAATCTTGAATTTCTCTTTTCTTTCGAGGATTCTTATCTTTAGACCCCACTGATCTTCCTCGTTTTAATCGTGCCTTTAACTCATTTGGCATATCGTCATTTGCCATTCTTTTGGAATATCAATTCGAGCAGGGGCATTTATAGCTGCAACATGTGATTTTGTCACCCTTTTTATGTCAGTAAATGCATCTGACAATTGATTTGCAATATTCTGCAGATGTATGATCTTTTGAACTTCTTGTTCTCTTTGTTTGGTGGGAGGATCAAGATGTGATAGTGATGATGTTCTCCATTCAATATTTTTCTCAATTGACTTTCCATTCCCACCTAAAGGGGGAAATAATTCTTCATTAAAATGACAATCATCAAACCGAGCTGTAAAAACGTCACCTGTTTTTGGCTCAAGGTATTTTATTATTGATGGAGAATCATATCCAACATATATTCCCAACCTTCTTTGAGGCGCCCCATTTTCGTACGTTGGGGCGGAGCAATTGGTACATACACTGCACAACCAAAAATTCTTATATGTGCAATATTTGGTTCTCGACCAGATGCCAATTGTAATGGCGAGTATGTATGGTGTGTACTTGGTCTTATGCGAATTAGATTATCTGCATGCAGAATGGCATGTCCCCATACTGAAGTGGGGAGTTTTGTTCTCATTATCAATGGTCTGGCTATAAGTTGCAGTCTTTTAATCAATGATTCTGCTAGACCATTTTGAGTATGAACATGTGCGACAGGATGTTCAACATCAATTCCCACTGCCATACAATAATCATTAAATGCTTGAGATGTAAACTCTCCAGCATTGTCAAGTCTGACTCTTTTGATAATATAATATGGGAATTGAGCCGTTAATTTAATAAGTTGGGCAAGTAATTTAGCAAATGCCAAATTTCTAGTGGATAACAAGCTCACGTGAGACCATCTACTAGAAGCATCAATTAACACCATAAAATATCTGAATGGACCACAAGGTGGATGAATAGGTCCACATATATCACCATGAATCCTTTCCAAAAATAATGGTGATTCATGCCCGACTTTAGTATGTGATGGTCTTATTATCAATTTTCCTTGAGAACATGAGACACATGTTAATTCATGTGTTTGCAGTATCCTCTGATTTTTTAATGGATGCCCACTAGAATTTTCAATAATTCTTCGCATCATTATTGAGCCAGGATGACCAAGTCGATCATGCCAAAGTTTAAACATTTCATTCGCTGGTGACTTTGTTGCAGCATAAGTCTCAATAATATGAATGCGGGTGTAATATAAGCCCGAGGATAAAGCTGGTAATTCCTCCAAAATACATTTATTTCCCGCAATATCTGAGGTAATGCAAAGATATTCAACTCCCCCTTTATTCATTGTTTCAACGTGGTATCCGTTCATTCGGATATCTTTAAAACTCAACAAGTTTCTTGTTGATTTTGGGGAGAATAATGCATCATTCAATATAAATTTTGTACCTCCCGTCATAAAAAATATGGCTTTTCCAGAACCCTCAATTATCTTCGCATTTCCGAAAATTGTGTTTTCCTTTGCTTTATTTATTTTCAAGTTGACGAAATATTTTCTGTCCTTGAGTATAGTATGAGTAGTTGCACAATCTGCAATACATATATCTCCATTTTGGATTCGAGATCGATCCATGATCTAAAAGAAAAACAACATTTATTATTGATTAAAGTCGAAATACAGATAAAAACACACAAATACAACAAAACTTAGAAAGTAATAAAAACAACAACATGATCATCAGTTATTCTCTTGATCATTTCCAGCTCTGTCTTCAAATACTGCATCAGCAAAATCTAGGTTCAACATGTCATCGATGTCATAGTCATCATCTACACGTGTTGTATCATTTGCAGAGGATTCCCCAACTATAAAATTAGTTTCTACATTTTTGTCTTTTGATTTCTGGGAATCATTATGTTTATCAACAACGTGTTTCGGAGCATGACAGTTTCGTGCCCAATGTCCCGCCTTTCCACATCGATAACATGCATTTTCATCATTATTCTCTGTCATATTATTCTGTTCAAATTTTGGCTGGAAATTTTTCCCCCTTTCAAAATTTTGGGCATAGTTACGGCCTCGCCCACGATTATATCCCCGGCCCGAGTTATATCCTCGGTGAAATTTGTGGATTTGGTCAAATCGGCAATCTGGACCATATCCACGGCCACGGCCACGTCCACGTCCACGACCCCGGCCACGTCCCGAGGTATATCCACGCATATATGTTTGGCTATTTTCAGTTCCGGTTCCCTGTTTAGATATTGCAACATTTATTTCAGGGACCACAGTAGACCCCGTAGGTCTAGATTCATGATTTTTCATCAACAACTCGTTATTTTGATCAGCCAGCAGCAAACAAGAAATTAACTCAGAATAGTTTACAAAGCCTTTTACTCTCTATTGTTGCTGCAATAGTACATGTGAAGCGTGGAACGTGGACAACGTTTTTTCCAGCATATCGTAATCAGTTATGTTTTCTCCGCATAATTTCAATACCGAGCAAATGCGGAACATGGCTGAATTGTACTCGTTTACAGTTTTGAAATCTTGGAAGCGTAAATGCATCCATTCATAACGAGCCCGGGGGAGAATCACCGTTTTCTGGTGATCATACCTTTCTTTCAAGGCTTTCCAGAGATCTGCAGGATCTTTAACAGTTAAATATTCATTTTTCAATGCCTCATTCAAATGATGCCTCAGAAATATCATTGCTTTAGCTTTATCCTGTATTGATGAATCATTTGGGGATATTATTGTTTTTTCCAAACCCTTACCGCCAAATGAATTTCGGCATCCAATGTCCATGAGATATAATTTTTCCCAGAGATATCGAGAGCTTCAAATTCGAGTTTGACCAGATTTGCCATGATAACTATAAAATAAAACATCAATGCTTAGATTCAAAAAATTACATATACAATCATTAATTCTTCAAGACGTACACAAGAGCAAATACTAAACACATTATACAAAGGCCTAGTACATAAAATTTAAATCCAACAGTACGATACACCATCGTGAAAATTAGCAAAACATATATAATAAACAAGATAATGGTAATTATAAGTAATGGATCAAACATTTTTTTTTATAAAGAAAATATATTTGTGAGTGTTTGGATTATGAAAATGAATTGTAGTGTTATATATAGATATTGGTAAATAGCCGTTACAAAAATAACCGTTAACTAGCCGTTGGAAATAAATTTAATGATATAATATTTGTTAATTAATCATTTATGATCATAAAATTCTAATTAATCATGTATATTACCTTAAAGATTTTTCCGAATTATTTGATGAACATTTTCGTGAATATAACAAAGCAAGTAAAAAAAATGCTCCACATTACTTGATAAATTTTACGGTGGGTACAACAATAAACACTTATAAATTTCACGCCACATTACTGGGTAAACCATTTTTGTGGGTGTTAAGTATAAGTAATAATACTTATCATATCACCACATATTATTGACTATGGCATAGCCTAATTTG